GGGACCGGCAACGGGATCGCAGCCCTTGGTGATGCTCCCGCGCCTCGCTCAGCCAGTGAGCGGGAACCGGTCTGTATGTGGGATCCGAACCCTCGGCGGGAGTGCCGCCGCGCTTCCCAAGCGGCGCACTATAGCAGTGCGCCACCGGGCCGGCCCGACAACACTTATTTTTTACATCATTCTAGGTGATAAGGTTTTTACTGTAATAGGCTTATCCCCTTGCACCTAGTGTGGTCAGTTTTTTGGAGGGAAGTTTGGAGAGAAAATGTTGGCATCCCCTATGTACAGAAACTTTCCTCTGTTTTCTTTAAGGTACGTCTGCACATGATGTGTGCCACACACCCCAATATAGTTCAGATTATGGAAGTGTTTGCCAACAGTGTACAGTTTCCTCATGAGTCCAGCCCCAGGTAAGATCAAACGGGATCTTCATGTGCCCACATGTAGGCCAAAGTGAAGCAGTCTTCCTCTCTTTTATGTACTCTCTCTCCCTTCCTCTTGTTCTCCCTCCTTTCCTCTCCCCTTCCTTTTCCTTTCCGCAGCTCCCTTCCTTTCCCCCTCTCCCCTTCCTTCTCTCTCTCTTTGTATTTTGGAAAATTTCAAAGATTTCTAAAAGCAGACAGTTATGTAATGAATCGCCAAGTACTCATCATCAGCCTCAACAGTTACCATCTTTTTTCACTATCTCACGGCCAATCTGGTTTCACCTATACCCCACCTACTCTCCTAGCCCTCCTGATTATTTTGATTACCTTTTCTTTTTAATAAAAGCATTTAATGTGGAATTTAAACAGATTCTATTTCAAATCAGTGAATGGGGCCCAAATGTTATTCTAGGCAAAGTCTTACAGGTTGATATAGAAAAAGCCCTTATTGCTTCATCTGACTTTTCTTTTAAAGGAAGAGATCAACATTATTTTTTAGCTGCCAAATGCTTGGCAAGCACATTGAGTGGCATTATAAGTCTCTTCTAGGGAATTCAGTATTAAATAAGGTATGATTTCTTTTGGGAGACTAAGATGTAAACCCATCATCATAGCAACGAGTAGGCACTAAAAAGAGGAATCTGTAAAATACCGAGAGCTTACAAAGAAGGGGAACTGCTAACTGTAGTCTGGGAGGTGAGGTGTCTCCCATAGGCTGTGTGGAGGCCAGGACTTGAAGGGAAGGTAGGAATTTTCCAGGTGGAGAAAGATGGAATTTTAAAAATAAATGGGAATTAAATGATTATTTTTCACAACTGTGCTCTGTTGGTGAAAGCATTTGTATGGAAGTTGGAGGCATTTATATCAATGGTAATCAAAATTCACAGATTTTTTTTGAGAACATGAGAATTTTTGCTCTTATTTAGTAGTTATGTTCCTCTTGATATAGGAAGTGATTACATACTTTGTAGGTGAGATAGCTTTAGGTCAGCTCCTTGATGTTTCAGGGGTTTTTTTGTTTGTTTTTTTGTTTTTGTTTTAACTTAACAAAATCAAATGCTTTCAAACAGGGCTCGACTCTTAATTGTAATGGAGATGATGGAAGGGGGAGAGCTATTTCACAGAATCAGCCAGCACCGGCACTTTACAGAGAAGCAAGCCAGCCAAGTAACAAAGCAGGCAAGTTAACCCCAGGTACCAAACTGCCAACAGTGTTGGTTAACTAGCACAATTTCATTGGGGGGAATAAAAGAAAGCTTAAAGAAAGCTCTATTTGACTTCTTATTGCCTGCTTTGTTATGTAATCAGAAAAGATGTCTTGACAGGAGAAATGTGACCCCCTTTATACTTGGTAGGGGGGCTACTGTATTTGTAATTGGTTGTCAGCTGTTTCCTGAGGTCTATTGTGAGATTAAACAAACTCTGGAAGGAAGGTAATCTTAACTCCTTTGGGGACTGTAGATATCTTTAGACATATAGCTTCCCAGCACTGTTGCTAGACTTTGGGATAAAATGCTACTGATACCACCCGAAAGATTGTATGGTATAAAAATATGTTCTAAGACAATTTATACATAAGATGCATCTTGCATATGAGTCACCTTTCTCTCATTTCTTCAGATTTTAATAATATTCTAAGATCTTTGCAATTTTGGGCTATTCCTGGTTATATTCTTTTTTTTTTTTTCCCCCTTTTTTGTGGCTGGCCAGTATGGGGATCCAAACCCACGACCTTGGTGTTATAAGGCTGTGTTCTAACCAACTAAGCTAACTGGCCAGCCCTATTCTATTTTGACATCACATTTTATTGCTATAGAAATGATTTATGTCACGAGCAATACTAGGAATCCAACTGGTAATAACCTCTTGAGGTGAAAAACTAAACCCTCAAGGCTTACCTTCAGACCGAGCAAGCAAGGCAAAGAAAAGCAGGAAGCACAGCCCAATTAGTTCTTAATTAAAAAGTTCTTTCAAATTTTCCATGAGCCTCAAGGATTTTTGGATGCCTTCTTTCTGATAGGGAGGAACTGGTATTTGGATTGCTGAAATTCCCATACTGAAAGTTGAAGAACAGGTAGAATCTGTTCTTTTTTATTTGATTTTAAAAATTACACCTTTCATTTTTCAAGTATTAGGACTAAAGGATGAACTCTGACGATCTTCTGTAAAACAAAAACCCTTTAAATCCACACAAACAGGCAACATTTTCAACAAGCAGGGTGAGCAAACTGGAACCTCAGTTGGAAAAATACAGTCAGCTGATTTCCTGTATGCAGAGCTAGCTGTTCTGCTCCCTGGAGAGTGCAGCTCTCTTCTGAGCCAGGCGATCCTGCAAGCCCTGCTGTGGGAATCCCACCCTGCTGAAGACTGCCCAGATTAGTGTTGCCTCTGCAGTGCCTGCCACGCCTCAGATGTGTGAAAGTGGGAGCATTTCATTTTCCCCATTTCTTACAGGATTTAAACCATCAGTCTGTTCTAAGACTTATTTTACTGTCGTATTTTTCTCTGTTTAACAAAATACAGGTTGCAGTTAAACTGAGCTTAATTCGTTTTCTATTTCTTGGTATCTGAAGTCTTAATTTTAAATTGAAATTGACCTGTCCTAATTGACTTGATGAAAGCTTGTTTTTGTTTTTTTTTTTAACATCTTGAGTGCTCTACACCAGGAGTATTAAAGATTGATCTTTTCTAAGAGTTGGTTGTTCCACTGTGTCCTTTTTCAGATAGCTTTGGCTCTACAGCATTGTCACTTGTTAAACATCGCACACAGAGACCTCAAGCCTGAAAATCTGCTTTTCAAGGATAACTCTTTGGTGAGAAGACTTGCTTTTCTGCATTTTAGTGCTGCCACTCTTACCACAGTTCAAGAGTGGGTGTGTTTGTGGTTGGAATGCTCATGGTGAAGGAGCTTTAAGCCAAAGTACTTCTAACAGCTTATTTCTTTCACCTGTTCCCTGGCTAGAGGCTCCGAGAAATTGTACTGTACCCCTGGCATTGATAATTTTGTATGATATTGAAATGTATTTGTGGGACTTATGATTTGGGGTATTATTTGGAGGGACTTTGAGAAAGGGCAGAAATGTATATGCTGTTATATATTACATTGAAACATAGTTTCATTTGCTGCTAACCCTGATCTGGCATGCTTTCCCCTTCAGCCCTGCCTTCTGTCCCCTCTCCCATGTCCCACCAAATAAGTTGTTCTGGGTATGGTGACACTTATGGTTGATGCTGAGTGAAGCAGTGCCTTGCACTGATGAGAGGTGTTGGGCCCTTAATATGAAGGGGCCGTAGGCTAAGACCTGGATTTTAGTGCTGCCTTTACAAGTTATAAAACAAGGCTAACTATGTGAGTGGGTAGAAATATCTTACATCTGTATTACTGAGAACAATTCCTCAATATGAATCATTGTCTCCAGACCTGGGGACATGTTATTCATAGGCTCAGGTCTCAGCCAGAAACTTGTGAGAGCTCAGGGTAACATGTCTTGCACCTGGATTTTCCTTTAATGTTTACTGGGGACTCTGGAGAGGTGACTCTCATTTGTTTTATTTCAGGATGCTCCAGTGAAGTTATGTGACTTTGGATTTGCCAAAATTGACCAAGGTGACTTGATGACACCCCAATTCACCCCTTATTATGTAGCACCTCAGGTAAGCATGTGCTCTTTCTGCCCTAAGATAGATCACAACGCTGCATATAGATTCACATTCCTTCTATTCTACAGCTCAAGTAGACATGTATTACAGATGTGAGGGGGAGAACTCAGCTTCAGAAACCTACAGATTCCTTTGTTAGCTGTAGACATTTTATTCTTTTAAAATCAAATCTATTGGGATCCCTGTACTGGCCACCCACCAGAAAAATAAAATAAAATCTGTTGAGGTATGATTTAGAGGTATGATTTATATACAATTAAATACTCCTACTTCAAGTATAGTTTTTTTTGTTTGTTTGTTTGTTTTTTTAAAGATGACCGGTAAGGGGATCTTAACCCTTGACTTGGTGTTGTCAGCACCACGCTCTCCCAAGTGAGCTAACCGGCCATCCCTATATAGGGATCCGAACCTGTGGCCTTGGTGTTATCAGCACCACACTCTCCCAAGTGAGCCACGGGCCGGCCCTTGTTTGAGTTTTGACAGATACCATGTTGGTCTATTCCACATGACCACCATCACAGTGAAGATACAGAACATTTCCATCGCTTTGCAAGCTGCCTTGTGCCCCTTGGCAGTCAGTCCCCTCCCAACTTAACCTCTGGCTCCGGGCAACTGCTGATTTGCTTTCTGTCACTGTTGATTAGTTTTGCCTATTGTAGAATTTCATAAAAATGAAATCATGAACTTTTTCATTTCTTCTGCTCAGCATGTTTTTGAGATACATACTTGTTGTTGCATGTATCAGTAGTTAGTTCTTTTTTATTGCTAGATATACCGGTAAGGGGATCTTAACCCTTGACTTGGTGTTGTCAGCACCACGCTCTCCCAAGTGAGCTAACCGGCCATCCCTATATAGGGATCCAAACCTGTGGCCTTGGTGTTATCAGCACCACACTCTCCCAAGTGAGCCACGGGCCGGCCCTTGTTTGAGTTTTGACAGATACCATGTTGGTCTATTCCATATGACCACCATCACAGTGAAGATACAGAACATTTCCGTCGCTTTGCAAGCTGCCTTGTGCCCCTTGGCAGTCAGTCCCCTCCCAACTTAACCTCTGGCTCCGGGCAACTGCTGATTTGCTTTCTGTCACTGTTGATTAGTTTTGCCTATTGTAGAATTTCATAAAAATGAAATCATGAACTTTTTCATTTCTTCTGCTCAGCATGTTTTTGAGATACATATTTGTTGTTGCATGTATCAGTAGTTAGTTCTTTTTTATTGCTAGATAGTATTCTATTATATGGCTAATCCACATTTGTTTTTCCATTCAGGGACTGATGGCCATTTTGGGTTGTTTCCCATGTTTGGCTACTATGAATAAAGCTGTTAGGAACATTGATTTACAAGTTTTTTGTTTTTTTTTTTT